AAAGTGATATATGCTGCTTCATGCTAAGGGTTTGGTGTGGCCTTTCTGGTCCTTTCTCTAAGGAAGTGATGCTCCAATGGCACATATGTGGCTTACAGAGGAAATGTTTCATGCCAAGTAATTAAACAGGCTTTTGTAAGTAATTAAAGGCTGAACCAACATGATAGGACAGAGATCATCTGATATACATACATATATATATACATATACATATATATATATGCATATATATATAATTTTTTTTCCTTCAGCATGAGATTATTTTCTGAAAAGTTATACAGGCTCTTGGGTTTATTGGCTATTATAAACTGCCAGCTCCAAGGAATAGAGTAAATTTAAAGTTGGGAAAATTATCAGAAAGTATCTGCTCCTTCCACCCCCACTACAAAAAAATGTGCACGTGGCAAATTATTTCTTAGGAAAAGAGGCAGCGAGGGACGCATTGTACTGGTTGACAATCTTATATTATTTCGTACTTTTCAATAATATGTTGGGGAGACTATGTATATGTAATGCATCCCAAAGAAGCAGGGACACATAGGAATGTGTTCCTTAAATTCTTTTAAAATAATTAATGTTGTGTATGGGTGTGTGCATGCATGTGTGGTGTTCTGAGGACAACTTACAGCAGGAGGGTCTCTCCTTCTACCATACAGGTCCCTGGGATTAAACCCACGTTGTCAGGCTTGGCAGCAAGCGTCTTTATCCACTGAGCCATCTTGCCAGCCCAGGAATGCATTCTTACATAGGACCAAAGAAAGTTACTGTAGAAAGAAATACTTGGCTACCCTAACACACACAGACAGCCCCACGACAGCCCCACGGCAACATCTTACCGCCTGTGAGCTGAGGAGTTTCTATAGAGAAGCCTGGGGAGAGGAAATGGGCCAGCACAGCTTCCACGCTGCTGATGCACTGACCATTGGAAACTGATTGAATAAGCCAGCACCAATGAAAGCAATTAACACACAGAATGTGATGTGACAGCTCAGCCAGAAAAATACATGGGACAGCTAGGAGAAGAATGGAAGTTCGGGTAAGTGTTGAGCAGCATCTCTCAATACTAGTCAAGCTGAACGGAGTTATTACTCACGGGTGGACTGGCTTTTGCTGGGATTCTTTGTTTTTAAGACTTATGCCATAGCAGAGGTACAGAAGGGCTCATTGCCCCCCTTCAGGACACACCAAGAGGAGACCTGCCCCTGTGTTCTAAAGCTTACAGTGTTCCGTTCATGCTGGACGTTTATTTACCAGAGTCTATCTACCAGAGGCCCACAAGGTATGGGATCTGTTTCTTCCCCATGCATTCTGGAAGTACTTAATGACTGACTGAATAAGGGAATAAATGAACGAATGAATTCTATCGAAGAATGGAGAACGGTTCTGGTCCAGGAGTGGGGGGGAAGGGGGAGGGGGAGGGGGAGAGCGAGGGTAGGGGAGGGGGAGGGGCCGGTGCGAGGTAAGTGGCCTCGAATCTGAGATGCCTGACAGCAACTGAATGTGGAATGACTAAGCATAACATTGATTCATGCTACTGGAATTTTCCTACCTGCAGGGGTCAGTTCCCTCAGAGTCACTCCCCCCACCCCCAATTCCTTCTCCTTAGTCATCCCACCAGGAAGTTACCACAAAGTCTCTCAAAGGCGTGATGAATGTCCGAAGCATTCCGGCAGCCTGTGGGCCCAGAGTGCGGTCAAAGAAAGTAAATTCCACCCTTATTAGGAGATCCTGGCCTCCTTGGGGGAATTTACCCAGCTTGCATATGGCTTCCTGCACTCTCACAGACAGCAGGCCTGTCACTGCCTCCAAGTGACAGTGTCCTGCCTTCCTGGACCCCCTTTACTCAGGCCTCACTTCCTTCCTGACTCCTTAGGCTTGATTGTTTCAGGATTGCACCACAGCACGGACAGGCAAGGGACACTCCCTCTGTCCCTGAGAGCAGCCACAGGAGGAACTTCTGAGTTGAGATAATTTCACAGATGGCTTACTCCAGGAAACGCTGTGAGCTGCTGCTCCAGGGATTGTCCATGTGTTCATTGAGTATGGGTCAGAAGTCAGAGAGCCAGGCCCAGGAACAGGCTGGGGGTAAGGAGTCCATGCTGATTTTCCAGGACATCTTTGGCATTAGCCTGGCCATGGAGATGGTAGGTGGGAGATTTACCACAGGACCGTCTATGTTTTGACCAGACTTATTTCCTATGTCCTGACAACCCTTCAAATGAACTGACACTAGACTCTGTCTGTCAATTGGCCTCTTCCCTATGCTCATGGTTACAATGTCTCTGTCTCTGTCTCTGTCTCTGTCTCTGTCTCTGTCTCTCTCTCTCTCTCTCTCTCTCTCACACACACACACACACACACACACACACACACACACACACATACACACACACAAGACAAGGTTTCACTATAGAGGGCAGGAACTCAGTATGTAGATTAGACTGACCGGCCTTGGGCTCACAGTGATCCGTCTGCCTCTGCCTCCTCACTACTGGGATTAAAGGTGTACACCACTGGCTTTTCTTACGTTCTTTACTTAATAATAGTGTGACTACCAAAACCCACTAAACTAGAATGCTTTCCTCTTTTATGTTTGAATGTGAAATGTCCCGGGTTGACAATCTTATATTATTTCATACTTTTCAATAACATGTTGGGAAGAATATGTATGTGTGATGTCACCCCAAAGGGACACACACCCACATGTGTTGAGGAAGGAACTAGGGAGTGGGACACCGATTCCCCCTCAGCTCCTGGGGTAGCTGTTAGGGTCCTGGCTAGTGTGAGCGGCCAGCCCCAACTTGCCCACAGAAGCACAAACCAGTAAGTCTGAGTTATGTCAACATGAGACGGTTTATGAAGTCAGTCACTGGGCCACATTGCTGCTGAGTCAGCAGACTGATCTCAAGGCCATTCTCTCTCTTCTCTGTCCTGGAAGGAAACTCATAAATGCCTCTATGGATCCTGAACACACGATCTGAAAACAGAAGGGCCTGGCCCGAGATGGCAGAGGTGTGTTTTCACTTAGTTATTGGTGGAAGAGTGCTTAGAAAAACAGCAAGTATTGGAAATTCCTCCCTGCTGTGCAATTTGTAGAGTTGGCAAACCATGATAAAGACAAGACAGCAACACAATCTAGGAAAGGCTTTGAGGCCTGGTACTCACCGTTCCCACCAAAGGGTAAATGAACCCAGCCCCGATGCTGGCCCGGACATCACTGATGGGCAGAATGAAATCCCTCGGCACCCCCTTTTTGTCAGGTTCATGAGAGAGAGAGAGGTGGGTCTTCGCCATGCAAATGGGCAAATTTCCAAAACCCTGTAAGAATGAAAAGGAATTACATTCACTGCCATAAGTGCTGGTTTCTTGCACCGGATCTTTGTTTACACTAGCTTTTCAGCAATTGTGTACGGGTGCAGATGCCAGCAGGTGCTCATACGGCCATTATTTAGCAGGGTATGAGGTTTTCTGTTTACTCTGGAGGTTCTCCTAGAGAGGAGGCACTTGCATGTTGTGTGTGTGTGTGTGTGTGTGTGTGTGTGTGTAAGCAAGGCTATTTTTAGGCACAGTACTGGAAACACTGTAGAAAGCACTTTCCAAGGCTATTAATATCCAGGAAGGAGAAAGGTAACCCAGAACAAGGCTCCTAATGAGGTTCTTAGTGCCATTGTTCTGGCCTTCATGGAGCCTGCTGGGAAGCAAAGGGCCCTTTGTGCTGGTTTATGAATCATGGCTATTTGATCTGCGATTACATTATAGGAACTAAGATGAGGTCACTTTTTCAGCCTCTTTTATTTTTAAGGACCAAAGTCTGTCCCTGACCCAGAATTCCTAAGGTGAAAGGGGAGGAAGTCACATGCAGCATCTTACAAAAAGGACAGTGTCTGGGAAGGATGCTGTAATTACACAGCACATAGTGTTCCTTCAGAGACCTTACTAATTAATTGCAACCACATACTTGACACTAACATTTAAGGAATATTCCCGTGGTAGACAGACAGATGACAGAATGTAATTGCTTATGATTCAACCTACAACTATCTAGAACATTTTAGAGCATTGTCAGTTGTGGGGGACGGGTACTGTATTCTTGAAACCCCTACTTTTACAGACTAATGAGGATTTTGGCAAGGAAAAAAACATCACCAACTGCTACCTAGAATTTCTGATTTTGTAAAATTAGTAAGTATTGAGATAATTCCTATAAAATTATATGCATAGCTTTTGAAAATTTACTATAAAAATTCAAAAAAGTATCATCCCATTAACATCCATCATTATAAATTAACATATGCCACCATAAATCATATTTTATAATGGAAAAAGGACTATTAGAATAAATTATAGCATTAAAGAATATAAATTATATTACATATAATATATAATACAAAATATATAACATAAAATTTATATATACTATATAATATATAGTATATAAAGTCATATATACTCTATTCCATATAGTATATATGATACAAATATATAATAATTATATGATATGCAATATAAAATATTAAATAAACATACATACTATATACAACATATATTATATATAAATATATTATAAATATATGTGACTGTGTATGCCTGTAACTCTAGCATGATGGGAATGGGGTGAATAGAGACAGGAGGATCCCAAGAGCATGCTGGCTAAGTAGCCCAGCTAAAACGGTTAATGTTTAGTTCAGTGAGAGACCCTACGTCAAGGCAGTCAGGTAGACCATAATAGCAGAAAGCATATGACATGCTTCCTGCATATCTATACACACTTGTGTACACCCATATGCTTACATGTATGCAAAACACACACTCTCTCTCACAAACAAAGGGAGAAAGAAAGAGAAGCTGGGGCCGGGGATGTAGCTCACTCAGTGTTGACCATTGGCTGAGTACGTGAAGGAGGCTCTTAGTTCTGTCTCCAGAACAACACAAAATAGAAAAGAACAAGCTACACCAAAAGAATACATGTTCAAACCTCAAGAAGAAAACATCCTTTTCTCCGGGGGAGAGGGTGAGTGGAGTCCCCCACTACCACAAATTATGCAGTTGAGTTTCCCACATTTGGGGACACACAGGGTCAGCAAATTTGGGGTGCAATGGATAAACCTCGCCTTGAGAAAATCGACTTCATGACTGTGGTATCACCCTTGTCAGGTAAGTAAGTATACATTTGGTTTTTTAAGGCAAGGTTTCTCTGTATACCCCTGGCTGGCCTCTAACTCATAGAAAGCCACCTGCCTCTGCCTTCTGAGCACTGGGATTAAAGGTCTGAGTCACTACCATGCCTGGCTGGAAAAGTGACTTTTATCAGACCCCAGAGAACATTCAACTTGGCACTGATAGGATAGTCTTTAACAAAATATCACACATATTCTAAATAAGATAAAGGAGTTGGAGGGGGGAAAGCCAACAGCATTATTTGTGATGTAGTGATCCTGACAGCAAGCTGAGATGCTGACTTCTGTGTAACCATGCTAAAGTAGGTGGAAGCATCGGAGACATGCAGACCTTTGGGATATGTGTTCAGATCGTGTGTCTGGGTCACTGCCCCTCCCACAGTGCACTAGTCCTGTGGAGCCTTCAATCCCTGAGAACAAGGCAATGAACCACTTGCATACAAACCTGACTGAACATTCCCATTGTGTTCACCTCACTGACAGCATGCAAGGATTTTTAAGACAGTAGAGCCGAAAGTGCAGTAAAAAATCAAAGGCTGACTCCCCTCGGCACACCAAACGCACACTTCCCAATGCTTCTGACTGAGTGCCTGGGAGTGCGTGTGAACATGGATGACACCCATGCCACATACATTGGATAAGGACGGAGCCCCGTGGGAAAGTGCTGACTTAGTACAGGAGCTGGGTTCCATCCCCAGCACTGCAACCCAGAGCCACATTCCTGATCTCAGAGATGAAGGACGCCAGAGTCAGAGAGAAAACGTCTTTATCGTAATGTTTTACTTAGCCAATGCTACCAATGCTACTACTTTAATCTCTGTTGACCCTCAGGTAATTGAGTAGAGCTTAACTATGAGACAGAACTTACCTGTCCTAAAATCAAGGTGTGCATTCTGAGATGACAAGGCGGATACCCCACCTCAAAGTACAGGGATCTTGTTTACCTGTTGTGTATAGCGATCGATTTTGGACTGCGCCTCAGCAGACAGCTCAATATCCCTGGCTCCATAGACGGTCTGGGCTATGACTCTTATCTTCTCTACGATGGGAAGCTGGAGGAACACAGATAACAGAATCGTTGGCCCTAACGTGCTTGGAGCAGTGAGGGAAGGCTTGGTGAAGTTTTACATCTTTGACTGAAAATTCCCCCATCAGTGTAGCATTCAAAACCAGTTATCTGCTCTCCCTCTGCCATCCAGGCCCTGACATGTTCACATGAGAAGTCAGCTGGCAGAAAGGAAGCCTTGATATTTAGCCGACAGAAGGCTGTCAACCTAGTTAAACCATTTTTATCCATGTCAGCGTTAAAATAATGATTTATGCGATGCAAAAACATTCCTAAAAACAGCCGGGTTTCACAGACATGGATGCTGACACGTTTGGGTGTTTCATCGGAGAACCAGACATTGACTTTTAAGTCACATTAGCTAGCTCTGACGAATCAGCCAGTGTGGGAGAAGCTCTGAGAAGACTAATGATTAGCAAAGGATGGCAGGAATAGTGGGACATACCCAAATCCCAGCACCTGGAAGGCTGAGGCAGCACTGTAAGTTTTAAGCCAACCTGGGCAACATAGGGAGGCCCAGAACTAAAACCCTTAATAACTGCAACAAAACCCCACAAAAACAAACCCCTAACTCCTTCCAAACAGAACAACCGATGAATCACCCCCAACCAAATAAAAGCAAGGTGAAGGATCCTATGAAATCAGTGTATGTGATGCTATTTGGAAAATACTGGACTGGAAACCTAGGTTTGACCCTGCTGGAAGGACAGCATCAACCACTGTCCAGATGATCCCACGGGCTGTGCACAGCAAGGGCATATGGTGTGCTCTACTGGCAAGAGAGTTGTGCAATAAAGACAATGAAAACCTAGTGCTTGCTACCTTCCCAACCCTGATGAAGCCATAAACTGCTTAGAATCACACTTTTTAGTACAGCAGATTGTGTTACTGTCAAGTCATTCTGCGGTCTGGAACGTAAATATTGGACATTTAACAAATAAAGCAGAAATGAAAATGTAGATCCCCCCCACCTTCCCCACACTGCTGTCGCCACTACCCACCTCCAGATGGGTTCCCACTATGTAGTCCTTGCTGGATTGGTAACTCGCTATTTAAGACCAGGCTGGCCTCTGCTTCCTGAGTGCTGGTATGAAAGTCACAAGCTACCATGCACAGCAGGTGCATGCATTTCTAAGCTTTTGTTGGAGATTATAAAAGGACCATAAGCAATAGAGACCAATGCTGTGCACATGAATGAAGAGACTCAGTGTTATACACACACCAGCTTTTTATAACTTACTTTTTTAGTTTAATGTAATTCCAATGAAAAAATCCCAAGAGCACCTGGGATTCTGGAATGTGGCCAACTGGTTATAAAACATAAGGAAGAGAGAGTCGTGGTGTAAATCAGCATCAATAATACCTCAAAACTATATTAGCCAATTCCTCATGATATCAACACAAGAAGAGATGAATTAACACATGGTGGAGAAGAATGGGCTGGGAAAGGCATCTCCACAGATATGAGGTAGCATATAACAGAAGGCGTACGAGGGAGAAGGGTTGGCAACCCAGTAGACTTTTGACTAAAAAGAAATAAAACTAGATTCATACCAGGATCTCTCCCTGAAAAAAAAAATCCAATACAGAAGAGATTTGAAAACAAAACCTCTAAATATCATAGGATTCTGTCTTCCCAATGGAGGTAAGGATTTCATAAAGACGGCGACAACAGAAAGACATAGGTCATGCATGCCTGCATTCTCAGCACTTGGGAGGTTCACAGGCCAGCCTTGACTACATAGTGAGTTCAAGGATAGCCTAGGCTACATGAAACCCTGTCAATACACTTGCACCCCCCCCCCAACCAGTGCACACACACATACCAGAATAAGTCATAAAAGAAATTATTTATAGATCCTTAGTTTTTCCCCCAGGGGCTGGAAAGGTGATTCAATCAGTGATTAAACGTACTGACTGTCTTTCACAGGACCTGGGTTCCATCCCCAGCACCCACATGGCAGCTCACAGCTGTCTGTCACTCCAGCCCCAGAGGATCAGACATCTTCTTCTGGACTCTGAAAGCACAGAGCATGCATACGGTGCACAGACATCCATACAGACCAAAGAAGCATATACATAAAATAAATAAAATTAAAACAACTTTTTTTTTTTTTTTTTTTTTTGTGAGACAGGGTGACTTAGACTCCTGAACACTGGGATTATGGGTGTGTATCATCATACCTAGGATCTTCTGAATTTAAAATTATAAAACTTAGAAAGTAAAGGGATAAAGGCACACTGACAGAAGATAAAGATTTGAATAGTTTAAAAGCCAGAAGAGTAGTACAAAAAAATTTTTGAATGCCTATAGAAAGACATTTAATAATGTGCAAAATCTAATAACTACATAAAAATAATCTCACTAGTAATCAAGAAAATAGCTATTAAAATGATTTTAAAAAATTAGCTCATAGGCCAGGGAGTACTCTGTGGGTAAAGTGCTTGCTGGACAAGCATGAAGACCTGAGTTCGGATCCAGCTCTCACACAATTATGGCTCTGGTGCACCAATACTTGTAGCACTGCGGAGGTGACAGGCTCTCTTCATCTCCCAGCTTAGGTAAAGAGTGAGCTGTGGTTTAGCAAAAGTCTCTTTGAAGAAACAAGGTGGGAGGCTGGCGAAATGGCTCAGTGGGTAAAGGAGCTTGCTGCCAAGCCTAATGACCCGACTTTGATCCTTAGGACCCACATGGTGGAAGGAGAGAACCATTTATGCAAGCTGTTTTCTGACTTCTACCCTGTGGTTTGTGTGAAGACACACTGATGCTAGAAGGTGACAGGGATTACACCCAAAGTCAACTTCTGGCCTCCAGGTGAGCATGTCTGGGTGAGTGCACCTGCGTGTGTGTGTGGGGGGGGGTGGGGGGGGGGGGGCTATCTTCTTCCCACCCTCATCTAAGAAACAAACCACACTGACAACAAAAATACAGACCCTAATTCCTACTTGTCAAATGCCAAGTACAGGTGAAGAGGCAGGAAGTTACATTTTCTTGTTTCAATTGGAGGGTTGGGGAGGGCTCATCACCGAGGTAGCTTCTCTTCACTCTGAACAGTCTCTACTGCAAGTCCCACCTTCCCAACACACACCCCAGAGAGAAAAATCCTCACACGACAGCACTGCATGGTCTGCTAAGAGACAACCCTGCTCGAGGTATTTCAGCATCTGCACCCTATGTCTTTGCTTCCGGGATTCACTCATGAAGTCTCTTTCCCCGTCCTCTTCAAACATCAAGCTCTCTGAAGTTCTCAGGTCTATGTCAAAGGCCACCTCTCCCACAAATCCTTTAGGGCAGCGGCTTTCAACTTGTGGGTCATGACCCTGTTGGGGGGCGGGTCACGTATCAAATATTACATTATGACTTATAACAGCAGGAAAATAACAGCTATGAAATAGTAATGAAGTAGTTATGGTTGACGGTCACCACAACACGAGGAAGTGTATTAAAGGTCACTGTGTTAGGAAGGTTGAGAACGACTGTGTTAGGGACATCATTAATATGCATAGCGGTCCCTTCTTTGACACTGGGAGCACCTGTAGTGTTCTTCCCTGATGGAGGGGCTGCTGGCTCGCCTCATGCTGCTTTGGAAAGTCCCAATGGATTCAGAGGTAATGAGAGACTAAAGTAGGTGGGTGTACGTAACTCTAATCCTAAAATCCGCTGGCTGGCAAGGTGCCCTGTACAAACCACACGATAGGAGAAATCCCCTGTGAGTGTTCATCTCTGAAAAGGGACGACTCATTACTAATTACTTTCCAGCAGGGAAGAATCTGGACCAAGAGCTAGAGGTCAAGGAAGTCATTTCTATCCCAGCATCTAAGGGAGAGCCGCTGTTAGCCCAGCAGCCCTGTAGGCAGAGACTCTGGGAGAGCTCAGTGCAAGAACGAAGGGTGTGGGAATGTTATAGAAAGAGCTACC